TACATAGTGAATCTTTGTATAATATATCATTGCAGTGTATAGAGAATCATTGTATAATGAATTATTGTTCTGTATTGTCAATTATTGTGTTCTGTTTTTTCACAGATTCCCATTACAAAAGTTACCGTACAAGTACCTTTTTATATACCTGGAGTTTACCTGGAAAGAGTTCTGGGGGTCAACACCCCCGCAGCCCGGTCTGTGACCAGGCCTCTTGGTGGATCAGAGCCTGATCAACCAGGCTGTTACTGCTGGCTGCACGCAATCCAACATACGAGCCACAGCCCGGCTGGTCAGGTACCGACTTTAGGTGCTTGTCCAGTGCCTGCTTGAAGACAGCCAGGGGTCTATTGGTAATCCCCCTTATGTATGCTGGGAGGCAGCTGAACAGTCTCGGGCCCCTGACACTTATTGTATTGTCTCTTAACTTGCTAGTGACACCCCTGCTTTTCATTGGGGGGATGTTGCATTGTCTGCCGAGTTTTTTGCTTTCATTGTGAGTGATTTTCGTGCGCAAGTTCGGTACTAGTCTCTCTAGCATTTTCCAGGTGTATATAATCATGTATCTCTCCCGCCTGCATTCCAGGGAGTACAGATTCAGGAACTTCAAGCGCTCCCAGTAATTGAGGTGTTTTATCTCCGTTATGCGTGCCGTGAAGGTTCTCTGTACATTTTCTAGGTCAGCAATTTCACCTGCCTTGAAAGGTACTGTTAGTGTGCAGCAATATTCCAACCTAGATAGAACAAGCGACCTGAAAAGTGTCATCATGAGCTTCACATCCCTAGTTTTGAAGGTTCTCATTATCCATCCTGTCATTTTTCTAGCAGATGCAATTGATACAATGTTATGGTCCTTGAAGGTGAGATCCTCCGACGTGATCACTCCCAGGTCTTTGACGTTGGTTTTTCACTATTTTGTGGAAGGAATTTGTTTTGTACTCTGATGAAGTTTTAATTTCCTCATGTTTACCATATCAGAGTAATTGAAATTTCTCATCGTTTAACTTCATATTGTTTTCCGCAGCCCACTGAAATATTTGGTTGATGTCCGCCTGGAGCCTTGCAGTGTCTGCAATGGAAGACACTGTCATGCAGATTCGGGTGACATCTGCAAAGGAAGACACGGTGCTGTGGCTGACATCCTTGTCTATGTCAGATATGAGGATGAGAAACAAGATGGGAGCGAGTACTGTGCCTTGTGGAACAGAGCTTTTCACCGTAGCCGCCTCAAACTTTACTCTGTTGACTACTACTCTTTGTGTTCTATTTGTGAGGAAATTATAGATCCATCTACCAACTTTTCCTGTTATTCCTTTAGCATGCATTTTGTGCACTATTACGCCATGGTCACACTTGTCGAAGGCTTTTGCAAAGTCTGTATATATTACACCTGCATTCTTTTTGTCTTCTAGTGCATCTAGGACCTTGTCGTAGTGATCCAGTAGTTCAGACAGACAGGAGCGACCTGCTCTAAACCCATGTTGCCCTGGGCTGTGTAATTGATGGGTATCTAGATGGGTGGCGATCTTGCTTCTTATGACCCTTTCAAAGATTTTTACGATATGGGATGTTAGTGCTATCGGTCTGTAGTTCTTTGCTATTGCTTTACTGCCCCCTTTGTGGAATGGGGCTATGTCTGTTGTTTTTAGTAACTGTGGGACGACCCCCATGTCCATGCTCCCTCTCCATAGGATGGTAAAAGCTCGTGATAGGGGCTTCTTGCAGTTCTTGATGAACACGGAGTTCCATGAGTCTGGCCCTGGGGCAGAGTACATGGGCATGTCATTTATCGCCTGTTCGAAGTCATTTGGCGTCGGGATAATATCAGATAGGCTTGTGTTAACCAAATTCTGTGGCTCTCTCATAAAAAATTCATTTTGATCTTCGACTCTCAGTGTGGTTAGCGGCTTGCTAAAAACTGAATCATATTGGGACTTGAGTAGCTCACTCATTTCCTTGCTGCCATCTGTGTAGGACCCATCTTGTTTAAGTAGAGGCCCAATACTGGATGTTGTTCTTGACTTTGATTTGTCATAAGAAAAGAAATACTTTGGGTTTCTTTCAATTTTATTTATGGGTTTTAGTTCTTCCCGCGATTCCTGACTCCTATAAGATTCCTTTAGCTTAAGTTTGATGTTTGCTATTTCTCTGACCAGATTTATAATAAAGAAACATGGGAACACTGTATCTGTACATATACAAAGAATTTATGTATTTGGCTCAACATCACCTGATGAACAGTGGTAAACATGCTGTTGCAGGGAATCATACTTGATAGCATTGAGTCCTGGATGCAACGAAATAAATGTTTCACTATAACATAGTGTTTCTCATCAACATCACCTATTAAAAAAATTAAATATATGTTAGGAACACTTACTAGAAATGAACTGGCATTATTGCCTACATTACAGTTAATCGATTTATGCTCAGTCTAAACATGTAAAAAAAATTTAATATTTGCTATTCTAGGTTATGTTGTCAGGCTAACCTATACCACCAATAACAAAATAGCGCAAACAGGCAGCTTATCTCTGGCAGCATAGAGCATATTGTAGTACCTTAGAATATTATTATCCTCAAGCTTGCTGTTCATGTTAGAGGACACAATGCCAGGACATGTAGTAAATTATTATAATCATAATGAAGCACTAAACCTGTAGGGATCATACAGTACGTTGGAAGTAGGAGGTAATCAGCTTTGATTCAAGGAAGGGATAGGTATCTCCAATTTCTTGAAGTAAAAACCCCTCGCCAGCATCAGGGCATTGCCCATTTTTCCTTGAAGAGTGTGTTGGAATTAATGTTAATGGAAGGAGGGGATTGGCAGAATTCTTTGTCTCATCTTAGGCTTTTATTTCTAGTCCTGATCACCATCACGGAGGGATAAAAGAAAGAGTAAGGTTAGGGAAGAGCAATATAAAAGGAAAGCAAAATAAAAAGGAGTGAGAAAGTGGTACTAGTGGGAGGAAGAGGGAATTGCAGGATTGTTTGCCTTATCTGAGGGATCAGCATTGATTGGAGAGCTGTTACTGTTAGTTATGGTTTTGGTAGAGGGTCTTAGGGCAGCATTAGGAGGCCTTTGTGATTACCTTTCCTATAAAGTGACCTATTTTAAAACATTTTCCCAGTGAAGTGAGTTTATGCTGTCTGCCATCACTACCTTGTATGTAATCCTCAGCCACACTATGAGTGGTTTGTCTGTCCACTTGGCAAGTGTGCAGACCTAATGCGAGGCACCACAACCTTTTGATATTAGATTTATGAGTATACCAAATTATGAGTGCATCTTTCATAACCTCATGATAGACACACTGACAATAGAATATCTTCACTATTTCTTTATTAATATACACAGTCCTACATGCAATTCATATACGTAGTACCATAATAATGCTGTTTTAACCATTGAGATGTTGAAGAAACATATACTGTATAAGTATTCCTGGTATTTTACAGCATGGCCTCCTGTATATTCATTAAGAAACATAACATAGCTAACACAATCACTCACTTAACCCTTTGACTGTTTACGCCGTATAAATACGTCTTACGCGCCACTGTTTCTGACGTATATATACTCAATAATTCTAGCGGCTTCAAATCAAGCAGAAGAAAGCTGGTAGGCTCACATGTGAGAGAATGGGTCTGTGTGTACCACATAAAAAAAATCCTGCAGCACACAGTGCATAATGAGAAAAAAAAACTGATCGTTTTTTTGGATTAAAACGCCGACTTTGAGGTGTATTTTCGTATAGTATTTATCGATGTATTTGCGTTTTCATGGTCTTAGGTGATAAAATGGAAAACATATTACAGAAATAGAGATGATTTTCATTGCTTTGATGATGAAAACGACCTTGAAACTGAGCTCAAAGTAGCGGAAATGTTCGATTTTTACCAATGTTCAGGAGTAAACAAATCACACCACACGTCCAATATACATCAACTGGGGAGTCTAATATTCTTTCACTAGTACACTGATATTATTTATACCATTTTTACAATAATGCAGTAGTCTGCATAACAGTAAATTTTGTATTTTTTTGTATGAATAAAAAATCAAAATAGAAAGCAATAATAATATAAGAGGGGCCTAGAGATGTGACTAATGAACAGAGGATATGTTATTTTAGTGCCAAGAATGTCTACCTTGTTTATTCTGGACCCTATTTTGAAATTGGCATCTTTTTTAGTTTGCGTGAAATTGGCCAAATTGCCAATTTCTGACCACCATATTGGGTAGTCCAAATTGGTAAATGGGAGGTTTCTTGTACTCAGCTGATAGATAAAATGGAGTTCTAAAGAAATAGCTATGAGTTTGGTCAACTGGAACAACGGAATTGGCTGAAAATAGGGCTCAAAGTCGGCAAAATCGCCGATACGCATATGTCGCCAAGACCGCTAACTTCGCGGGAGCGTAATTCCATGAGTTTTCGACCAAATTTCGAACTTTTGGTGTCATTACCATCGGGAAAAGATTCTCTAACATTTCATAATTTTTTTTTTTTTTTTTTTTTTTTTTTTTTTTTTCAAAAATTTATCGACATAGAATGACAGTTTCAGAAAGGGGCCTGAAACAGTCAAAGGGTTAAAAGCTTCTCTGGAGGCACATACGTCTTTTTCAAATTTAATTCTCTCTCCTTATTTTCTGCAAACCTGCTTTTAAAATTAATTTACAAATCTTTTAGATATGATTATTTTGGATTCATTTAAAAAGTTCTTTAGAATAACTTATTAGTAATTCTTTTATCATTTAGATTTTTGTAGTTTTACTCTAATGTAAACTGTTGCTGAACATTAAAATTGTCTGTAAGGAGATAACACTAAATTTTACTAATGTATAGTCTGGCACAAACACTATGTTTAATTTGGTTACTACAGAATTTTGTAAATTAACACCAAATTTTTTTTAATATAAGCAAAGAATTATTATAACTGCTCTGTGTAAGTTTTCATGCACCATTTTATTTTAAATTAAAAATGCTTTTTTTCAATAGATTTTTGACTGTCATGTACAGATCTGACAATGACTCGCCCGCTGTGAGTGTGAGCGTAGGGTTGCCGTCACTGATGGTGGAACACTGGGGGGTGTGGGTGGACTGTGAAATAGCCCCTCAGGGAACAGTGCGCACACCATTAGCTCTGGCATACATCATATCAAATCATGGTGTGCACACAGCAGAGCTTGCCCTCAACATGCAAGTCTCAGATGCATTCATGTATGCAGGACACAAGGAGGTAGGTTTTCTGTATAAATGTTTCCTGTATGTATTACCATAACATATCCTTTGAGCACCCTGGTAGTGGATCAGTGCCTTAATGATTCAGCTCCTTCAGTAACCTCCTTAACCCCTTCAGGGTCCAAGGCCCAAATCTGAAGAGGTGCCCCAGTGTTTACCTGGAGTTTACCTGGAGAGAGTTTCGGGGGTCAACGCCCCCGCGGCCCGGTCTGTGACCAGGCCTCCTGGTGGATCAGCGCCTGATCAACCAGGCTGTTGCTGCTGGCTGCACGCAAACCAACGTACGAGCCACAGCCCGGCTGATCAGGAACTGACTTTAGGTGCTTGTCCAGTGCCAGCTTGAAGACTGCCAGGGGTCTGTTGGTAATCCCCCTTATGTGTGCTGGGAGGCAGTTGAACAGTCTCGGGCCCCTGACACTTATTGTATGGTCTCTTAACGTGCTAGTGACACCCCTGCTTTTCATTGGGGGGATGGTGCATCGTCTGCCAAGTCTTTTGCTTTCGTAGTGAGTGATTTTCGTGTGCAAGTTCGGTACTAGTCCCTCTAGGATTTTCCAGGTGTATATAATCATGTATCTCTCCTTCCTGCGTTCCAGGGAATACAGGTTTAGAAACCTCAAGCGCTCCCAGTAATTGAGGTGTTTTATCTCCGTTATGCGCGCCGTGAAAGTTCTCTGTACATTTTCTAGGTCGGCAATTTCACCTGCCTTGAAAGGTGCTGTTAGAGTGCAGCAATATTCCAGCCTAGATAGAACAAGTGACCTGAAGAGTGTCATCATGGGCTTGGCCTCCCTAGTTTTGAAGGTTCTCATTATCCATCCTGTCATTTTTCTAGCAGATGCGATTGATACAATGTTATGGTCCTTGAAGGTGAGATCCTCCGACATAATCACTCCCAGGTCTTTGACGTTGGTGTTTCGCTCTATTTTGTGGCCAGAATTTGTTTTGTACTCTGATGAAGATTTAATTTCCTCATGTTTACCATATCTGAGTAATTGAAATTTCTCATCGTTGAACTTCATATTGTTTTCTGCAGCCCACTGAAAGATTTGGTTGATGTCCGCCTGGAGCCTTGCAGTGTCTGCAATGGAAGACACTGTCATGCAGATTCGGGTGTTATCTGCAAAGGAAGACACGGTGCTGTGGCTGACATCCTTGTCTATGTCGGATATGAGGATGAGGAACAAGATGGGAGCTAGTACTGTGCCTTGTGGAACAGAGCTTTTCACCATAGCTGCCTCGGACTTTACTCTGTTGACGACTACTCTCTGTTTTCTGTTAGTGAGGAAATTATAGATCCACCCGACCGATTTTTCCGGTTTTCCCTTTAGCGCTTTTTTTGGGTCCCGCTTTACGCCATGGTCACATTTGGGCAAAAGGCCCTTTTCCCAAAGTCGGGAAAATATATTAAACCGCATTCTTTTTTTTTTTTTCAAGTGCTTTTAAAGGCCTTTTTTCGTAGTGATCCAGTATTTTGGGGACGACGGAGGACCTTTTCAAAACCCATGTTGCCCGGGGGTTGTGTAACGAGGGGTTTTTCTAGATGGGGGGTGATCTTGCTTCTTAGGCCCCCTTTCAAAGATTTTTTGATTATGGGATTTTAAAGGCTTTTGGGTCTGTAGGTTTTTTGCTGTTTTTTTTAAAACCTCCCCCCCTTTTTGGGGAAAGTGGGGCTATGTTGTTTTTTGTAATTGGGGAGGCCCCCCGTGCCCATGCCCCCCCTCTCCATAGGAGGGAAAAAAAAAAAAAGGCTCGTGATAGGGGCTTTTTCCCGGTTCTTGTGAAACGGTTTTTCCATGATCGGGCCCTGGGGAGAGGCATGGGCATGTCATTTATCGCCTTTTCAAAAGCTTTTGGGCGTCGGGTTTAACATCGGTTTAGGCTTGTTTTTAATCAAATTTTGGGGGTTCTCTCAAAAAAAAAATTCATTTTGATCTTGACCTCCACCCCCTTGGTTTAGGGGTTGCAAAAACCCTGAGTCATATTGGGACTTGAGTAGTTTCCCCCCAAAAATTTTCAAAAAAAAAATTTGTTTTTTTTTTTCTTATGAAATGGTAGAAATCTTTTTTGAAGGTAAAAAAAACAAAAATTTCCAAAATTTTGATGGAAAATTGACAAAATTATCTCTCACGAATTTTGATGTTCAGGATATTTACGAACCCACGTTTTTTGCCGCTTAAATCCCATTTTGGGAAATTACATTTTTTCCAGTAAACCAAAATTTCCCTTAGCTATTTTCACTTTTTTACTTTTTTTCTATTGATTGGCACAAAAAATTCCCCAAAGTCAATTTTTTCCCAACTAAAAAATTAAAGTGTTTGGGAAATTTTTAAATTTTGGGCCCAATTTTAACAAAATTTTTAAAAAATTTTCCCAAATTTCAAAATAGGATCCAGAAAAAACCCAATGTAGGTATTCCGGGAAAAACAAAACCCTAAATTTTCCTCTGGGCATTAGTTCCTTTTTTGAGGCTTTCCAAATAAATTCCATTTTGTTTTTTTATTCACATAATAATTTTTATTCATACCAAAAAAATAGAAATTTACTGTTATGCCAAAATGTAATCTTTGTAAAAATTTCATACCATATTTTTTAAATGAAATATTGGGACCCACCAGGGGCGTGTTTTGGGGGACTTGTGAGGTCGTTTGTTTACTCTTGAATATGGCAAAAATTTAACATTTTTGCTCCTTTAAAGTCATTTTTCACCCTTTTCCAGTGCAAAAACCCAATCAAAATTATCTCTATTTCTGTAATATGTCTTCCCTTCCCATCAAATGGACCAAGAAAACGCAAATAGAACTATAAAAAACCTTAAAGAAAAAAACTTTCAAATTTGCTGTTTTAATCAAAAAAAACAGATTTCAGTTTTTTCCTCATTATACACAGGTGCTGCAGGGTCTGTTTTATTTTGGTGCCCTACATACCACATAATGTAAATTTTCTCATATTTTAGGCCCAAATTTTTTACCATCCCCAGTTTAAACAGGTGAGCTGAGTCATTTACGTGATCCCCATGGTTTGGGCTCTGAACGTTAAAAACCGTAGATCTTTCGGGACGGACCCTCAAAGTGTTAAGTACCTTGGGGATAGCCCCCGGTGCTTTAGCTCCCTTTAGTAACCTCCTTAAAACCCCCTTTACTGTCGCAACCCCAATTCTGAAAATGTCCCCCCTGTGTGCAAAAAATTCGAGAAAAAAAAAAAATTTTTTTACTAAAAGGGTTTTGGATTAATTTGCTGAGTGTTTTTAAGGGGCCCAAAAAAAAAAAGGGGATCGGGACTTTAAAGAAAGGGATAAAAGGGAAAAAGTTGGCAGAAAATGAAACCGATATGGCCCAAAAGCACAAATGCTGCTCCCCTTGTATTTACTCCCATTCAAAAAATTTCTTGTACTATTTTCCAAAAAAAAAATTTTTTTTTTTAAGTAAAATTAGGGGGCCTGTGGACCCAAAGTTGGGCATTGTACATTTTTTACCCTCGTATGCAAAAACAAAATCTGCACAAACATTATTAAACATATTGTTTTCAAAAACTTGTTTACACAAACCCAAAATACAAAAAATTATTTTTTTTTTCTATTGTTCTATAATTTTGGGTTTCAAAGTACAGTCCCCTGGACAGTTCCTAGAATTTTTGCAGCTTGTGGAACTCTTTGAAACCCTGGGTTTTTTTAAAACAAATTTTTTTTTCATCCTCCCACAATTTAAAAAGAGTGTCTTTTTTATTTTTGGGGGGCTTTTTGTTTTTTTATGTGCACAGACAAAACACCTAAAACTGAGCAGCTTTCTTTCATGTAGTTTGCAGGCAGTTGTGTTTTGGTAGTTATCTTAGGTA